AGCCTATTGGTTGAACCATGTAAATTTCTCGATCCAGTTCTCCATTTAGAAATGGGTTCTTTACATCCATCTGCCACAAATTCCAATCTTTGCTAGCAGCAAGTGCAAGTAAGACTCGCACAGTTGTAAACTTTGCCGCTGGATTGAAAGTTTCATCGTAGTCCAAACCATATTCTTGAGTAAATCCTCGAGCTACCAAACGAGCTTTATTCCTCTCGATCGACCCATCTGTGCGGCGCTTTATTTTATAAATCCATCTGCAAGATATAGGCTTCACATCTTTTGGCTTTGGCACAAGCTCCCAAGTTTGATTTTGTTCTAATGCTGCAATTTCCTCTTCCATAGCATTAGTCCACCTTGGATCTTCAAATGTTTCTTCAAATGTCTCTGCTTCTATCGCATCTGCTTCTTCAACTGTGGCAGCATTGGCATACTTCGGGTTTGGCTTTCTGATCCTTATTGACCTTCTGAGTGTGGGTGGTGCAGCTGCGCTACTAGGCTCGCCTTCTTCACCTGGTTGTTGGTATACACCAGATTGCCAAGGACTTTGAGTCACGTCTTCTTCGACATTACCTTCAAAGGTTGCACCTTCAGCTTCATCTACACTCAACTGAATCTGGGACGATTCCAACACATCCTTGAAAACATCTGAGTCGGGCAACACTTCCTTATCTGAAGACCACCATGAAGAAGCTTCATCAAATACTACATTTCGAGAAGTGTAACACTTTCCTGTTGTTGGATCACAACATCTCCACCCTTTTCTTTAACTGTCATAGCCCACAAAAATACAGCTGACAACTTTCTTGTCCATTTTGCTACTTAGATGATCTGCTATAAAAACATAGTACACACATCCAAACACTCGCAAATAACTGACATTAGCTTTCATATTCCACAACTTGTCAAAAGGTGAAAGAAAATTTAACCTTTGTTGAGGAAGTCTATTGATCACAAAAGCTGCAGTCTTCATTGCTTCTGCCCAAATTTGTCCTGGAACATTTTTCGCGTGAAGCATACTCCGACAGATTTCTGCTAAGTGTCTGTTCTTCCTTTCCGCTACACCATTTTGTTGTGGCGTGTTTGCACATGTGAACTGATGACGTATTCGACACTCTCGAAGGAAGTCAGCAAACTCGTTTGAGGTATATTCCTCACCGTTGTCAGTTCGCAAGCAAAGAATTTTCTTACCAACTTCTGCTTCAACATCCTTTTTGAACTCTTTGAACTTTGAAAACGAATCGGACTTTTCCTTTAAGAAATAAATCCACACATTCCTAGAAAAATCATCAATGAAGGTCATCATATATTTCATCCCACCAATGGACACTTGCTTGACAGGTCCGAATACATCAGAATGAATTAATGCTAGCGGTTCCTCAACTTTAAATTAGGACTCTTCAAAAGGCAACTGATGCGATTTACCGTATTGGCAGCCCGCACAAACGGTGTCTGTTCTTACTTCAAGTTGAGGAAGACCCCTGATCATTGATTTTTCATCATCACACTTAGCTTGGAATAACTCACGTGACCTAATCGCATGTGCCACAAATCTGCAGTCTCGTTCTTTCTAGTCTTTTCTACATATGCTGTCTCCGCAGACATTACATAAACTGACTCTGGTTTACGCCCCTTCGTAATTGGATATTCTAAGTTCTTGAGATCACGATATACCATCACATCACGAGGACCGAACAGAACATAGTTTCCAGATGATGTTAATTGTGATACTGAAAGCAAGTTTTTTTTCATACCTGGAACATGATAAACATGATCAAGTGAGATCTGGCTGGAACTTTGTTGAGGAGAAACTATCGTCTTATTAATGTGGGCAATCGGTAACCTTGAATTGTTGGCCATCACCACAACACGACTTCCATTGTATGTTGTCAAGTTCTGCAACTTTTGCTTATCACCCGTCATATGATTTGCACAACCTGAATCAACGATCCAGTCGTTCTCATGATCAATTGATTCAGATATTGTTGCTGTGAGTGCTAAATCTTCCTCTTCTATAGCAAAAAATGCTTCAGCATCCCAATCTTCTTCGCTTTTCTCATTTGAATTTGACGTAGCAGCATTACTTTCCACAGACTTCTTCTTGGACCAGCAATCTTTTGCCATATGACCCTTCTTTCCACAATTGTGACACTTCCCTTCAAATCTTCTATTGTTCCCGTGATTTTTCAAAGCTCCCCTTGAGCGTGAATTTCCATCTCCATGAAAATTGCTCTTTTTAGAACTACTAGCAGTATGTTGATTGAAGTTCTTGGCTTTGTTGGTGTAGAGAGCTTCTTCTTCATTCTTCACCGAAGCTCCTACCATTTGCTTCGCCATGGCTTCTTGACCAGCAAGCAAATTCTCGAACTCCACAAGTGATGGTTGATTTGGCCATCCTTGTACTGCAGCAACAAAACCTCTATATTCAGGCCTCAAACCATGGATAATTATTCTTTTTATCCTGGTTACCCCAATTGGAGCCGTTGAATCTAAATCTGAAATTTCACGACATATCGACTTTACTTTATGGAAGTACTGGGCACTCGTCATATCACGTTGAGCTGTTGATAAAAGCTCATTCTCTAAAAGCTGAAGCCTTGCGTCATTCTTCTTTGAGAAAAGTGCGGCAAGTGTGTCCCATGCTTCTTTTCGAGTTTTAGCATCACGGGCATGTTCCAACACATCTTCTTCGATTGTTGTTTTGGGGGCAAACATTGCTTTGCCTGCTTTGATCTTCCACTTCCGCAAGGTTCCATTCTCATCCTCCGCCTCTAGTTGTGTAACTTCACTTCCGTTGACCACTTTCCAAAGATTTTGGCCCTGCATATAAGACATCATATTGCCCATGTATTGTAATTCTGATTATTGAGCTTTTTGATTCCGCCAACTACTTGAAGATCAGTCATTGTGCTGACTCTTGATACCAAATGAAGAATCAAAATAGAATTGCAAGCTCAATATTAGAAAGAATAACTGGAAGTAGAATTGAAATTTTTGTGGAAGAAAATAGTTGGATTGTTTATTCAATTCAGTGATGGCATATATAGGCTTACAAATTAGCTTGAACCTGTTATCCCACTAAATAAACTCTCATAAACTTTAGGAAAAGATATCTGAACTCCAGAAATTAGGAAAAATATATGCAACTAACAATAATAAATTAACAACTTGAAGCTAAAAACTAGCTATTCTACAGACTTAGTCAACACTAAATGGAACTGATGTTGTACAACTTTAACAGACCATGCAGTGGATCTCTTGTGTAGTCATGCGCACATCCTCCACCATAATGAGGTCACCATGCCAAAGTATAACCATACCTCCGAAAAGACCTTGTGCAGAAACTTGGGACATGTGGGAGAAGTTGAAATCATTTTTAAGGGTATTGTGATCTTGCATGTGAGTTTCCAAGAGAACTACTAAAGCAGTCCTATAATTATCTAGGAGTGAACGGAATTGCCTCCTAAATTCTGCATTTTGTGATCCACTACAATTTCATACGATGAGTTTCATGATTGGTTGTGTATGATTGAGAGAGTGAGGGAGGTCAGTCCTCTCCCCCAAGGGGTGAGGATGCATGGTATGGTCTGGAGTGGTCACTAAGGACGATTGCCTCAGAGTCGGAATATGACCATGGCATATTTTTCCACTTCCTGGTTGGTGGTTGCCCTTAGGTTTAGACTGCAAGATGCTAGTTCGGGGAGGGGGGGGGGGGGGGGAATTGAGAATGAACTTTTTTGCGTAAAGCTCTTTGAGGATGTAGAGATACATTCCCTTTAGCCACACAAACTCGGTACTTGTTTCCCTCATCTCCTCAATTATTTGTGCTAGTTCTAGACGAGTCTGGGCGCTTAGTGCGTTGGGTGATGGAGGTGGCGTGGGTGGTGGACTGTGCATGGGAGACAGCGGGTCTTGGGTGCTTGTTGGGGACAAAGGAGATATGATTTGTGTTGGTGGTGTGAGTGAGCTCGTGTGCTGGAACCACAATTCAACTAAGGAAAAAATATAGATATATATAAGGTGAGTTTAGTTGATTTTCAATTCCTAAGTATTAGAATTTTCCACAAATAAGGAAAGAAATTCTAATTGATTTTAAAGGCCTTAATATTAGGAAAAACAATTAAATTATAATTTAATTCAATATGAAATTAATTTTTAAAGGGTAAAAAAGGTGAACCATATTTCGTTAAGTGATTTCGTACTTATAATATATGAAGGTAATTTTAATTTTTATACATGCAAGTAAAGTGTATATTTGCCTTATATTTGTAATGATGAATTCTGAAGTCATTTTGTAGTGAAATCTCATTCTCCCGTTTCCGACCAGTTCTGTTTTTTTTTTCTTTTTCTTTGCCCCATGTATGTAATAGAAAAAGAAAAAGTTTAAAAAAAGAAAAAAGAATGAATTTCACGGTATAGCCAGTTTTCGGACTGGTCAATCAAAAATAGCCAGCGTTTACCAAGTCAATGAAAAATAGCCACCATTTTGCTGCAATAGATACCGGTCCAGCATAATATACTGGAGTTTCGGTGCACTTGTGTATGAACTCCAGCATATTATGCTGGACCGGTATACTTTGCTGGCTCCAGTATAATATACTGGAGACTGGAGCACTGGTGCTCGAAACTCCAGTATATTATACTGGACCATTATACTTGCTGGAACTCCAGTATATTATGCTGGAGTTCTAGTGTATTTATGCTGGAACTCCATCATATTATGCTGGAGTTCCAACATACTATCCTGGAACTCCAGTATAATATGCTGGAGTTCAAGTATACTTATGCTGGAACTCCAGCATAATATACTGGAGTTTTTTTCGGGTTTTGAACAGTATTTTCGCTCAAATTTATCTTTACATAAAAAATGGCAAAATTTCAATTACTTTTGAAATTGGACTATTTTTGAACGACCATGTGGCTATTTTTAAAAATCACCCAAAAAGAATAGTACAACAGACCCACAAAAAAGAAAGAAAAAAAGAGAGACAAAAATAGAACGCTCGGTCTCCTCCCTTTTAACACAAAACCTCTGCATAAACCCTCCAAAAAAACTCCACCTTTCTTCAGCAGCCATGGCCGAACAACAACACTCCCAACTCTCATCTCTCCGTGCTCTCGAGCTCCGTCTCCTTCGTTGCTCTCTTCCACCCTCAACCCCACCCCCACCCCCTCATCAACCCCTACCCATCCCTTATTTATCTCACCTCCACACCCTCATTGAACAAATTCTCGAATTAATCGAATCGAGTGAATACACAAAAGCACTATCTTCCCCTGGTGCTAAATCAATTTTCTCCTCACAACCTTTAATTCATAATCAGCTCAATGATTCTTCAGAAAAAGCTGAGTTGTTTTACTCAGAATTTGTGCCCCAATGTGTGACTTTGTTTCTAAATACAGAAGATGGGGTTGAAAATAATTCTGTTTTTAATAGCTACGTGAAGAAGTTGTATAAAGCAGTTCTTGTGATGGCAGTTGCTGTTGCAGCTCTTCTTGCTTTTACTCAGTCTAACATTACTGGGTTAGTCTCTATGTCCCAATTTATGTGATAATGTTACCTTTCTAAATTTTGAAATAATTCAAACTTTAAACTTTCCTTTTTACCCCTTATGAGATTGATTTATAGCTACACAAATATCATATGCTTGTTCTCGACCATAAGTTTCAAAGTATCGAAATTTTCATTATATAAATGTGTGCGGTCCAAGTTTTGAGATAATGAGTGTACTCGCATATTCGCAGATGCCTTGTATCAACCCAAAAGAGAAAGTGATGAACATCTTCACACACTTAAAAAAATTTCATTTATGTACACACACTTTATATACTTATGTGCCCAATTTGAAGCAGTGGGTGCACGTGCATTTCTTTTTATGCAACCCCCCACAAACCAACCACACACACGAAAAAAGGAAATGAACCAGAAGACATCAAAATGTTTTTGAGCAATATAGTTAGTCCATCTCTTCCATTTTATATTACCTAGTAATGTTTCCAATGGTTGACTTGATTTGTTTTTGATCTAGCTTGAGATGTTTATTTTAAATGTATGTTGAGATTAAACTTATATTCCTTAAAAGAAATGTAGAAAACTCAAACAGTGAGAGATTCGTGTAAAAGATTACAATTACATAAGAATATTGTCGACTTTGAACGGTATGAAGGATGATTAAATATCTGTTGAAAATAAATAAAAAGATTCTTTAAAGGACAATGAGAGATTTAGTTAATCCAAAAAAGAAAAAAAGACAGTGAGAGATTTATGTAAAAGATTACAATTAGACAAGAGTGTTCTTAACCTTTTGAATGGTATGAAGGATGATTAAAATGTGATGGATGAGTACTATTATCAACCTTTCGATGTCTGGATTAAGACCTTGGTTGTGTATCTGCCAAGCTTTATGAACTTACTTTTTGGGTGTTATTCAGTCTTACCTTATTGTTATTATAGGCCAATGATGAAGTTGCCGCCAATGCCGTTAGGTGCAATAACTTTTGGTGAAGAAGAGTTGACCAATGGTTCCAGTGGTTGGTTAGAATGGGAAGCGTGGGCACAAAAGGAGTTAATGTCAGCTGGTTCTGACTTGCGCGCCAAATTTTTGAATCTGCAGGTAAAATTGCTTTCATCGCGTATCAACTTGCCAAAATTCTTGTGAGCATGAATAAGTGGTGATATTTCTGGAAATTAAATGTTTATTTATCATATCGCTATAATCTATTAAATCTAGGGTCAATTTACTGCCTATTTATCGTTTGTCATTAGTAAGCTGAAAGTTGTAAATGGGATGAAAAGTTTTAATATCTGCTTGTGTTTCAGATTACTTTACGTATTTGAAACAACATATAAAAAGTAAAAAGTAAGTCTATATTCCATCTTGACAGAACCATTGAGATTACAAGGAAGAAAAAAAGATAATTGATTATAATGATTGTAACTTGTTTCATATGAAAGAGAAGACACGTACACCTAATATAGGTGCGGAATACAGAATAGGGTGTGAATGGAATTATGGAAGTAATAATTGGTGGCATGCGCTGCTTGAACCGTTTATTAAATAAGTACCTTTTCGTACCAAACTCTACTCTCAAGACTTTCATTGCATAGAGTTAATAGTAGGGTATTTGAATTCATTTCTACGGGATCAACTCCCTAGTCTTGACAATGTAAAATGATATGGAGAAGTATATTTTCTGTCAAGTATCCATCCATGTTATGGGGGCAAACTTAAATCCTTATTTACCTATAAAAAAGGTATCCATCCATGTTATGCGTAGTTTTTTGAATTAACATTCTGTATGTATGCTTCGTGTAATAAATGCTTACACGGACGTCTGGTTTCCTTATTAGCCAATTTTTCTTATTGCATACACCACTGAGTTGATGCCAAAGTTTTCCTTTTCATTTTCCTCCCCCTTTGGTCCTCCTTCTGTAGTATATAACCTTTGCCAAGATACTGCTTATGAGGACGAAAGATATTTTGTCAGAAGGAAACGACTCGGGGATGGATGGAGCCAGAAGCATCTCATGGTGGTTAGCTAGGCTGTTAATCATTCAACAGAAGTTGTTAGATGATCGCTCATCTTCTTTGTTTGACCTATTGCAAGTATTCACGCGTGAAAGTTTGCAACATATTGGTTCTCTGGAGAAAGTAAAAGATTATTGGGCTTCTCTGATATCAGAAGAGGATGTTTTGACTATTGTATCTATGCTTCATTTGGAGGCAGGAATAATGGAACTTACCTATGGACGAGTTGATGCTTCAAGGTTAGCTATTTGAAAAGAAACTTTTATGGTACTTTCAGTCACAAATCTATAACTGGGCATACCTGGGTCATTTTCCATGGTTTGCCCATCCAAAGTTACTGATGATTTCATTTTTCTTATTCAAGTCGCCTTCGATACTCTTCTCAGTTTATAAACAGAGATAAAAAGATGGAAAAAACTCAACTCATCGTAGTTGCATGATATGTATTCAGTTGTTTGACGGATGAATGCATGTGAGGGTTTATTTAGTTTTGCTGTAATATGGATCTTCTAGTAGTGCTGTTGTTTATCAATGATCTTGTTTTTCAGCTATATTGGTCTTTTCTCGTTATGTTTTTGGTTAAGGTAAGCTTTTATTGATATTCAGTACTAAGATAGTACTGTTAGGAAATTACAAGAAAACTGGACTTGTTTTACATTACAGCCTCATCACATTCAACAAGTCCAACATATCCTTTAGAAGTCTTTTAGTTCCGTACACTTGGCAGCTGATCTGTATCCAATGAATCACACTTGGGATGGAAACATCAAAAGGCCAAAGAGTAACATGATCTGATTGTTCTTCTTAGCTGCTTATCTCTGTGACATGTCGGTTGGTCATTTATCTTCTGTTGTAGCAGCATAGTTTCATGTTTCAATGTTGAATTAGTTTCACTATATGATATTATTGGCACATCTAGCTGCATTTCTTACCCATATTTTTCCTTTATCCCTGTCACTCTTATTTTGGTCCATGGCATATTTGATTTGTTTGTTCAATAATCAATGATCTCATCTCATGTAATCCTCTTGTATGATGAATCTTCTCAAAAGTGTAATGTTTCTGCTTATCTGGAAGCGTGATATTAGTTCCCCCCTGATATGATTTGTGTATTAGGGTGCATATTGAATCAGCTGCAGCAACATCCAGACTTAATTTTTCGCTAAGTGGGGCTCTGGGCTTCCGTACGGTACATCAGGTATGTTTTGCACGTGCCATTTGGAATTATTTGGTGATCATTGATCACAATGATTGGAAGAGTTTTTTCTTTATAGCCATATACTCAATGGTTGCGCTGGTAAAACAGGCGGAACCAAAAGCACAACTCCTCCTTGTGGGTAGCGTGGATGCCGGTGATGGTAGTGCTTCGCTTGGAAATGAGTTCCAAAATAAGGTTTCTACCAGTGTTGAAAATGCTGTTCCTCAACATCTCAGTGAAACTCATGAAACATCAGACATATTGATGACCCCCAGATTCTTGGGAGATGATAAAAGTTCCGAAAACAGTGCACAAGGTGCTCAAAATCACAGTATAGCGTCTATGCAGTTAAAGCCTACTCAGCAAGCAGTAATTTTAGCACAATGTCTTTCTATTGAGAAGAGAGCTCGGGGTGATGAATTGCAAAGTAAGCTTCCTGACTATTATAACGAATCCCTATTTCAATGTTCTTTTGTTTTCCTGTTGCTTTGTTTGATTATACAAAAAGTTACATTGCAATCTGATTAGCTTAAGGAAGGACTATTGAAGGGCATTGTTTAAGATAATGTGAAACATATTCCTTTGGGAAATTTGTTACCCCCTTCTGCTTTGGGACGCTTCAAAATGGTTAAAACCATTCCTTTTCTGTACAACTTACACTACGTTCTATTAATATATCACACTAAAATTTCTGATGTTAATTGATATTTGAAGCTGTAGTAAATTCAATACTTGCTGACCGATTGCATTAGTATGGACTATAAAGGATATAATGCAGCTGAGATAAGAGACTAGTTCAGGAGTCTAAATCTTACTTTATAAAAAAAATTGGTTTCTAAAGAAGAAAGGAAATGATATGAAATGATCTTTACTTGATTGCACTCAAGAAGAAAGTCATTGCTCTCCTCTCTCTGTCTGAAGTAGCACATAGCAAGAACCTTGGAAGATCACTAAGAGCATTGGCAAGTTAACAAGCTGCTGAGAAAAGAATGGTTAAAGACAAAATGTACCTCTCTGGATTTCCAATTCCCAAGTATTCCTACCTGAAAAGTGGTCGAAAGTATATATGAAACTTGTGTATGATGTAGATGTGGGGGGATCTATATTTACTTTATAAAGCTTGGTTACTCATGCATGTGCTTGTTTCAGGGTGGGAGATGGCTCCTTATATTGAGGCAATTGATTCCCAGAAGTCATCACTTTTTACGGTGAGGTTTACCCCGTTTAATTCTAGCATTTTGTTCTTCATTTGGCATTCAAATTGCTTTAATTGAAACATCACATTCAAAATTACACTCCACATTTTGAATCTAGCTGGTTTTACCTTTTTAGCATACATTGTGTCCTTCTAATATTTGAAGTTGGCAAATCAAAGATGGTGTTACCGAGGGCTTCCTGACTTGCTTCTATGCAAAACCTATACAAGAACAGGAAACTTTTTTTTTTTTGAGAAAGTTGTATCCTTCTAATATTTAAAGTTGGCAAATCAAAGATGGTCTTACCAAGGGCACCAGGGGGTTCCTGACTTGCTTCTATGCAAAACCTATACAAGAACAAGAAACTTTTTTTTGTAAACAAGTATTATGAGAAACTATAATACTTGTTTACAAAGCATAATCCATCCAAGCCGTGAAGTAGAGTGGCCTGATAGTTATGGAACACTTATTTTGTATTTGTTCTCTTTTTAGTAAGTAGAAATGGAGAACTTCTTACTGGCATTGATAGAGGGCTTGCAAAAAGTAATAATTGAAGTGACTGAGACCTGAATTGTATTTTCTTGGCGGCAATGCTTTAATAGCTACCTTTGGTTGTCTTCTAAATGTTATTGTTCTCAGTAGCAAAATGAGATAGGAAACTTGAGGATGGAAGATCAATTTAGTTTACCTCCCTCCTCCTCCTTTATTTTTTGCTCCCTGGCCCCTGCTGCCCCAACCAATTCTTTTTTTCTCGGTTTAACTTCAAAAGGATATATACAGCTGCTTTAGTTAGTGTTGCAGTTCCTGTAAAAGTATGTATAAGTGGAAATCAGATTTACAGTCATCTTTGTGTATTGCATCATCATCTTGCTGGTGCTTCTCAATTTGCTTCTATGTGGTCGTTCTCTTTCCAGGTTTTGTATTGTATTTGATTTACGTACCGAGATTTATGCCATTATGATGGAATGCTAACTGATTCAAATATTTCTCTTTTCATCCAGCTACAACATTTGTGCGATATATTACGCATTCGATGGGAATCAACTCGTAGTCGTACGAAGCAGCGCGCATTACTTATGATGGATAAACTGGTAAGTCCTAGAGACGTTAAAGGGATTATACTTCCTGCTTTAGATCTAATCCGTCGAGGAGAAAATAAAATTGAGCACCACAAATGGATCAGTATATGTAAATTGATGAAAGCAAATTCATTCCGAACCCACCGGGTTGGCCCAATGGTTAATTCAAGTTGATGAAAGCAGATTGATTTCGAATTTCATTAAATGCTCATTAGTTATTCCATTTGGGTCTTGCCTTTTGCAGCAAAGAATATTTTTCATTGTGTTATAATATTCTTATTTGAGTCTCAGGTTCAGGGAATATGTGATCCTTCCCCTGGAGCTACACAAAGGATGCATTGTTGTTTTGGAGTTAATATCCCTACAATTCCTGCATTGCGCAAGTAAAGTTGCTCTTCTGCCTATCCAAATTTACTTGGTTTTGCTCAAATGACTCATCATTTACATGCAATGTTACTTATTGCTGAATATGTGGCAGTTTTTTGAAGGCCATCAATTTTAATCCCTTATAGGAAAACCAACTTGTGCACTTGGTGCAAAAGCAACTAGTAAATTGTCATACTTGCTGTGTTAGTTGCTGTTTGGTGCACCCTTGAGATTTCTACTTTTATAGATGATTGGGTGTCTTTCGTAGAGAAATGAGAATCATGTTTTGTTGTAGGTTCTCTTTTTTTTTGGTCTACCTTTTATGGGAGTTTTCCCATCGTTAATAATATCATTTTCCTTACCAAACAAACAAAAAAAAGAAATATAGAATAGACATTCTATATACTTTTTCTTCTGATATTCTTCATTTTAGTTTTGCTAGGTATTATATTTGCATAAACAATGTGATCTCATAATTAGATACATTGGGTTAACAAGTGCAATCAGTTATTGTTCAGGGAGTATGCAGATCTACTAGTGAGCTGTGGTTTGATAGGAGAAGCTGTTAAAGTATATGAGGAGCTTGAGCTTTGGGATAACTTAATATACTGTTATAGGTACTATCGAAATTCTCAAAACATGGCTGTTACCTGTGGTTCTGTGCAGTCTCATCTGAAAATAATATTTAAATCTTGTAGGCTAATGGAGAAGAAAGCGGCAGCTGTTGAACTGATCAAATCTCAGTTATCCGAAAGACCATGTGACCCTAGATTATGGTATATTGAAAAAAACTCCACCTTCCCTTTGTCATTTTAAATGCTTTTCCTGTTTCTTGTGTTGATTTTCCTCTAGCTTGGGAAATGGAATTCTTCGTCATCAGATGAAATTAGGTGCATTTTTTGTGCTATTACAAGGTATGAAGAGCTTGATTTGGAGAGCAGGAGGTCTAAAATTTTAGTGATACGCAATAACCATCCACTTTTATCATGAAAAATTTACTTGTATGATTCAAGGGCTTCTTTGTTCAATGGTCCAATAAGCTGCCACAGGTTTTTTGGCATCCATTAGAAGCGCTTTGTTTCCTCAAAGTGGTTTTACGTGGTAAATTGTCTGTGATAAACATGTTCATCTTGAACTCATGAAGTATCCTTCAATTGGAAAAATTAAAATGTATTCGAAAAGTTTTTCAAAAACCCATGACTATGAGATCAAGGTATTGATCCTTTACCTTTTTTTAATGTAGTTTTGCCTTTCCACAGTATTTTATGACATACAGCATGATATAATGTGATACCCCTCTAAATCTCCCAAAGTTACTGCATATCCAGAGATGCAGAGCAAAAATTTTGTACTATGATAAGGCTGTAGTGTTTTGAGAAGTTTTTTTGTGCTTTAAACTTGAGTTAGGACTTATTGTGTGAGACTGACAAATCAACTATCCTTTTGTAGTAAGAGGATAAGTCTTTTACCACTTGAGTAACTGCCCATGCTTTTTTTTTTTTTGATGAAGTAAGAGAATTTCATTAAAAGCATCAAGAAGATGCATAGCAAAAGAGAGTACAAGTAAAATAGAGTGTGTCTGCTCATAAACAAAAACAAAAATAAACCTATGTTAAAACTAAGGAGCAGACACAGTCCAAAAAATGATCACAACTAGATACAGGTGCCTGATTTAGCCAAGTAAAAAGGTTCAATAAACATTTAGCTTTAAGAGCATGGTTTGGAGTTGATATCCCATCAAAACATCTGCTATTCCTTTCAGTCCATAAACACCAGAAAATAGAAGCGGGGATCAAGAGCCAAGTTTTTTTGATGGATTTGCCAACTCTCCAAAAGCACCAGCTTTCGTAGGCCTCTTTAATACTATTAGGCATGACCCGGGCTAGTCCAAAAATTGAGAAAAACATATTCCACAAATCTGCTGCAACTGCACAATGGAGAAAAAGATGCCTCACACTCTCTGCCTTCATCTGACACATGTAGCACCTATTCACTATGTAGATGTTCCTTCGACTTAGATTATCTTGAGTGAGACACTATGTTGCTCGGACTCTCCGAAAATGTGGTCGGATACGTGTCTGATCCTCCAAAAGTAGTGCATTTTTGAAGGATCCGACATGGGTGCGGCTACATTTTGGAGAGTCCGTGCAACGTTTGTTTGGTGAATTTAGTCTCTTAGCACATTTGTTTGCATGCTACTGATGGAGAAAGTGATAACAAAATATTTCGTGTTAAGTTAAGTTGTACTTATTGGGGATAGCAAGAGGTGAGATTGTTATCCCCTCATTTGGTTACAGAAGTTGGTCCCGAATTCTAATCACAACATTACTAATTTACTTCCTTTCTAAAAATTGCATTCCTATCAATATACCTCACTACATTCCAACAGCATTATAATCTTCCATCCACAGTCTCCTCACGCTATTATAATCTTTCCTTATCTCAGCCACCAAACAAAGGACTTTTTACGATTATGAGATGCATCATTTTGAAATTACAAGAAAGAGGTCTTTGCTGAAGAAGCTTTTGCATTATTTGTTTGCTGGTCATCTTCCTTTCCATGCATTACATTGAATTCATTTGTATTTGTTAGCTGCACTGTTTTCCGTTTTTATACTTAACCCTGATCTCTATTTGCATTTAAAAAAAATTATAATATACTTTAACCATACTTGTTTTATGTTTTGGTATTAATTATGCTGTATAATACCGATTGCTTCTCCTTTAGGTGTTCCCTTGGAGATGTTACAAATGATGACAAATGCTATGAGAAAGCCCAGGAAGTGTCAGGGAATAAGTCTGCTCGAGCACAGGTGAAACCAAGTCTCTTTGTTACCTACCTTAGTGATTGCAAGTGTTTTTCTATTTTCCTTTCATAATTGATCTTCTAAATTTTTCTTTGGACTCCAAAATCTTCTTGGAACAGCGTTCTCTTGCCCGTAATGCATACAACAGGGGGGAGTACGAGAAATCAAAAGATCTATGGTTGGCTTACTGCGTGCTTTCTTTCACTTAATAATCATTAAATATTAACTAATTTGCTTCTACTTATCCACTGATTTGATCTTTATTTCCTTCGTTTTCAGGGAATCTGCAATGGCAATGAATTCTATGTATCCAGATGGATGGTTTGCACTTGGTGCTGCTGCTTTAAAGGTCTGTTTTTCGTTTGTATGTTGGTCTTAATCACTCATGGCTCTAAGCAGTATGTAAGGAATTGCACATGATGCTATGTAGCGTTAGTTTCTCCTTCCTTTTGGCATGTATCCACTAAATGATTTCTGACTTTATCTGGAATACTACAGGCTAGAGATGTTGAGAAGGCACTGGATGGGTTTACACGTGCTGTTCAGCTTGATCCTGAAAATGGAGAGGCTTGGAATAATATTGCTTGCTTGTGAGTTCTTCACCCTTGCATTTAGTAAATTACAAGTCTGATGCCCCGTGTCAGTTGCATTGGTTTGCTGTATTTTAGGCAATCAACTAGTGAAACCATTTATTTGTGGGACCAAAAATCATTTATAGATTGCTCAGTTTTCCAGTTCAGCAAATAAGTTAAAAAATAAGTTAAACAACACTTGTAAAGAGAAGCAAGGAAGTCACTCTGTATAGTAGCTAGTTGTTTGTATAGGATGTCTTAGTAAAACATAGTTGAATCATCTTCATCAGCAACCTCCTCCACGTACAGACAAGAAATTAGTAGTATCAGCTGGTTCTTTTTCTTCTTCAACTTTCTTCTTTACTTTTTCCAAGAATTAGATTCTTGAAGAATATTGCAGCTATGCAACTTCATCATTTGCTCAAACTTTTGTGCTAGCTATGCAACTTCATCATTTGCTACCCGAAAGAGTGAAATATTAAGCAACTGGAATCGTGGCTAAAATATTAAACCAACTCATCTATGAAGGTCATCTGATATAAGTATCTCTTGAAGAGCGAGATCATAATGTTTATACACATTTTCTTTTTGAGATAGAACTTGTCTCCTTTTTTGATTCCCTTTTTATCTTATAAACTACCGTAATAGCAATAATATTAGTTAAATACGTAATGGGCGGAGGAAAGCAAGATGTTTGTTTTAATTCTAGTCTACTGAAGGATGTTAAATGGAGGAAGAAATCCAGTGTAAAGGGTATTCTACAAGCTATGAGAAGAAAAAGAAACCTTTGCCTTGATAGAGTTGGACTACAGGGCCAAGGGGGTATGCTGTATACTGATACCTCTTTGCAGATTAAAGTGGATTCTGCTTGCCTGCCTGATTTGTCCTTGGAAATCGTCATAATATCTTTTACTTCTATTCCTTTTTTTTTCTTTCATGTGTTCGGTTTTTTGCTATGCAGGCATATGGTTAAGAAGAAAAACAAGGAAGCTTTCATTGCATTTAAGGAAGCCTTGAAGCTGAAGTACTAACTTCCTGCTATCTTCCCCCTACATTTCATATTTTATTTTTTTCTTTTGGTGTGCATGTGTATTTATCTTACACTTTCTCATCTAGCCTAGCTTTTTCAACACCCCCCCCCCCCCCCCCCCCCAACCACCACCACCACGACATCACTTTTTCAACCACAAAAATGCAGTTTTCAAACCCATCCAGAATTGGACATAAACATGTAGGTACATCCTTTTTCACTTCCTTCCCATTGTACCATAGGAATGGGAGAATATGCACTTAGTAAAATCATGTAGTACCACTTTGCAAAGCCATCTTCTCTCCTCTTTTGGACCAAGGTTGGTGTTATCATCTTGTTTGATCTCGGTGTATTTCATGTAGCCTTTTTTACCTTCTGCAGACGAGACAGCTGGCAGATGTGGGAAAATTTTAGCCATGTTGCTGCAAATATTGGAAATTTCAGTCAGGTATAGCCAACATTTTATGCAAAATCTTTTTTTTCCCCACTTTGATAATACTATAAATTGGTTGCTCCCATCATGTTTTCTGTTGATCTTTGACCGGGCAGACTTTTCTATATGTGATGCTCCTTCCATTTCAATTAATGTAAAGAAAGATGTTTGAAAACTGAGTTAAAATTCAATTTCTTAATCTTCTAAGACGTTCTTTGAATCACCAGGTTAAAAAAAATTCCATAGCAAAATCTAAACTATGGAGATTCTGATGACATTTCTGATCATGGTCTAACTTACTGATAGATAAACAGATAACAAGATACCTTTGCAACAAGGAAATCTTTGAGAAAGAGCTTGGGTCACTAGAGGCATTAGATTCCGTCGTTGGACTAGGGTTAATCTCATCTGAAACTGTAACTTTTTCTTGATGTAAACAGAATTAGAGCATATTCCCTTAACTGGAAGTTAGAGAGCACGTTTTAATGCACCTATGGCTGCAGAAAGAAAAGTCACTGTTACAGAATCTATAGTTGCCTTGTATATAATATTACATCATATTTGTAGGAATTTTTCGGATTTTCAGGATTAGAATCCTCTTCGCGTGTATTTAAACAATTGATTCTCTGAGTAATGATATAGAATTTCCTATATCATCTCTTTCGAATACTTGGAATTAGAGCTGGCTATCTGTGTGTTGTGTGTCCTAGTGGCCCCATGTTATGTTGTCCAAGCTCTAGTTGGGAAGTCTTGGTTGTGCTGGAGGGGAGGAGGGGTGAGGGCGTGAAGTGTCCTATATTGGCTGAGGGATGGTTTGTTGTCTCCTTATATGGCCTTTGGCAATTCTCACCTCACGAGTTAAATGTTAAATGTTGTGGTTGAGTTAGGTCCAAGGTCCATTTCTTCACATGTAATTGAGAGAGATGGCAAAGAAATTTCTATATCATTACTCAAAGAATCAACTGTCAAAATCAATGTGAAGAGGACTCTAACTAAGGAAACTAAATTATAAAAATCTTAAAAATTCTTACAAATCTGATATAATAGTATTACTATTTGTGGAATCGAACAAGATTTTTTTTTAATTATATTTTTTCGAATAGTTTTTAAATATTTTAAATTATTAACTATTGTGACTTATAGTACTTTCTATGTGGTTTCTACATATGTATATTTTATTTCAAAAAACCTAAAGAATCTATGTTCGAATTCACACAAAAAATTAGTCGATTTGACACTGGTACTCCGAAAAGGTTCAAACAAATTGAAACAGAGGGAATACATAGAAACTGTATATTCTGTAACACTCCCCTCATGTTGAAGCATAGGTGTTAATCATGCCCAACTTGTTACAAACATTTTTCACTTGAGTCCTATCTAAAGCCTTTTTGAATATATCACCTTGCTCTCTTATTTTTACATAGTTAGTGGTGATTAGGTTCTCTTGAATCTTCTCACGGATGAAATGGCAACTAACCTTGATATGTCAGTCGTTTTATGGTATATTGGATTTGAGGCAATGTGTAGAGCAACCTGACTATCACACCAAACTTTTGCTGGTGACAAAGGCTTCAAACCAATTTAAGTTAAAAGTAATGTATCTACAATATTTTAGAGGTGGACTGAGCCATAGCCTTATCCTCAGATTTTCCACTGGATTGAGATACAACACTTTATTTCCTTTTCCTCCATGATACAAGGTCCCTCCAACAAAGACACAATAGCCTGTAGTTGATCTTCTGTCAATTTCGATTCAGCCCAATTCGCATATGTAGAACACACAATATTATCATGATCGCGGTCACTATACACTATGCCAAATCGAGGAGCTCCTTTCAAGTAACATAGGATTTGTTCCAAACTACGCAATGTTTGACTGTAGGAACGGACATAATATCAACACTCATTAAAGGAGTTCTTAAAATCAAAACAAGCTAAAGGGGAATAACTTTGAACTAGGTTATTTTTATGATGAACATATGGATGCCATGTTTTCTACAACAATTGAGGCTTATTGGGCTCATGAAGGTGCCAATGAATTTGGAGAATTGGGCCACAAATTTAAAATGCTTACGTTAATTAGCCTTAGTCCAATTAAGGCCCAAGAATTTCAAGAAATTGAGGAACTCCAAGAATCCATTCACGATTAGGATTTCTTTTCTTTAAAGATTAGGATTTCTTTTCCTCAAAGATTGGGATTTCTTAATTCTTGTTTTAGTAGGGTTATATTTATAGTTCTAGTTAAACTAGGTAGTTGGTAGTCCATTCCTACTAGATTTCTTTTTCCTATTTTAGTTACGATAGGTTTTCTTAGCCTTAGAGGGTGTTTGGATTGGCTTACTTTAAGTGCTTATTGGCTTTTAAGCACTTTTTTAGTTTGTGTGGTGTTTGGCAATGATAAAAAGTGCTTAAAAGCAGTTACTTTTAGGCATAAAAAGTACAAAAATAAGCCAAAAGCCAAAAGTTGGGTATTACCAACTTATGGCTTTTAGCTTTTAGCTTAAAAGCTACTTTTTATAAGCCAATCCAAACACCCTCTTATTCTTATTCTAGTTTAATTAGGATTATTTTTCCTTAACCTTATCAAATTTACTCATTGTAAGGCCTATTTAAAGGGCTTAATATGCTGAAAATAAACATTGATGATTAGTTTTTCTAAGCTCTTGCTTCAAAAACGTGATTAGCTTTTTATTTCATTGTTCTTCCTTTATTTAACGCTTCTTGCAATCTTGCGGGATTGAAGAACGTGTAGGTGAGGTTTCTTTTCATCTTACATTCTTCTAACGTGGGTTTGAAGAACGCTTTCGCTAGTTTTGTGAAAACCTTTAGCGGGTATTGTGCTTGAGAGGTGCAAGCTAAAGGGGAATAACTCTGAACTAGGTTATTTATAGCTACTAAGCATATTACAGAAATGGCCAAAAGTGGGCATTGATTGTAATTGCGGATCTGGCCTGGACATAGTGCACGCGGACGCAACTAAGGCCACGCGATTGCACTTTATGGCCTGCGATTCTTGTCCTCTTTGTTTTCGCGAGCGCGGACCATTGGCTTCAAATAACCTCCTGCGATAGCGGCCAGTGTCCTGTAACTCCATCTTGACGATCGCGGGTCGGTCTTCATGATCGGGACCTGGTCCTCGTGACCACGACTCCGGAGGATCTTCAAAGTTTGGAGATAGTGGTCAGGAGGCTTGCAAACGTGGTTGACACCTGAACAGCCCAAAAACTGTAGCTTGAGCTAAGCTACTAAGCTTGATTTTGGACCTTTGGAAGCACTCCGTGCGCTTGATATTAACTTGCATGAGCTCCACATTGTGAGTGCTAGTCCAGAAGCTATGATACTCTGAACAACAGACCATGTTTCTGAGAAGGAATAATTGTGACCAAGTTTGTCTATCTCTTTGGTCAGTTTGAACTCGGATCTTCGAAAAGAGTAAGAGGGAGATTTACTAAATATCAACTCAAACTGATTCACTGTCACCTTTGTGATGTTCAAATGCTATGCTTTATCACCTTTTCCCCCCCGAAGTGTCGTTGTATGACACATAAGTTCAATACTTTGATAGCCCACACAACTTTAAAATCACATTTGTTCTTTCTCCTTTCTCGATTCTCTTGGTATCTCAATTTAAACATAATACTGAATTGCTCGGTAAGTTTATGCTATCCCAACTTCTGCATTGCTAAAACAAATTCCTAATATCTCAAATAAGGGACTCCTCTTGTATTTTAATTAGATATTCAACACCACGTTAGTGCTGCCAGCAATGAAATTTAATATACTGATGAAAAGCTGAAGCTGGTTTAGTTGCTTCTTTGAAGGCACTGGAAGCAGTTACAAAGGTGCTGGATATGACAAATAAGAAGAGAATTGATATCGAATTACTTGAGAGGATGTTGCAAGAGCTAGAATTACGGACTTCGACTAGGGATTCTGAATTGCATGCTTTGAGGGATAGCACCGGTTCTGCTGAGGCTGGCTCGAATATGATTAATGCTGATCCATCGACCCGGTCAGACGTAGATTTGGCAAGAGAACGCGAAACTGAGTACTTGATTCAGTCAGTGGGGAAAATCCTACGGCAGGTAAAAATCAATTCGACATCTTTCCTTGGCTTTTGCTTTGTTTCTGCGGTTTTCTGTCACTGAATAAAAATGGATCTTCAGATGCTAAGTTCAAACTGCCATCTATTTGTTCTGCTCCTGAATCCTGATTCCTTAAAACAATTATTTGCACAACAGTTACAAGGCTCTTAAAGGCCACATGTGGACAAGAAACTGGTAAGCATAAAGTAGAGAACTTGATTTCATTTCATGAGCATTGTCTATTAGCAATACGGAGAACTTAGGAAAAGCAGACAGGTTTGTGTGTTTTTTGTATGTCTTTCATGCTTGTCAATCAACCTTTAGATTAGAAACAAAATTCTCATAGCATGTATGTCAATCAACCTTTGCTTCTTGTGCGCTGCTTTGATTAACTCACCCCCTAAAGTGTTTTACTTCTGTTGACGATTTGTCCGTCTTGGGGAGGTCTTTTATTGTGCGACCTGCAGGGGATGAGTAGTGTCACTAAAAATGACCTTTGGGTATCAGTATTTCTTGGGCTTATATAAATTGATCTGGTTGATAGGGGAATCATCTACTTGAGAAACCACTGCAAAAATGGCACAAGTGTATTATGTAGCATCACATTTAAGAACCTTTTCCTCTGATGCAGATTGTTCAAACTGGTGGGAATGCTGAGATTTGGGGCCTCTATGCCAGGTGGCATAAACTCAAAGGAGATCTTGCAATGTGTTCAGAGGCCCTTCTTAAGCAAGTCAGATCATACCAGGTATGACTGCAAATTCGATTTTTTGATGTTTCTGTGCTTGTGCTGACATTTTGATATCATTGACTTGGTGAAGCTGCTTCTCAAATGTCTGTCATTGCCCAATTAATCTTTTGATCTGTTTCTCCATTTCTGCTAGTATTCATAAAAATGCTGTACTGTTGGTTCACATGTTTGTCTTTTTTTCCTCGGAAAATTTTAGAGCTTGAATCCTTCATCATTTCTGACGTGATGGCGTTACTGCTCAATAGAGACTCTTTTTGTCGTTTGGACTTTGGATAGCATTCCCAGTGTCAAGGACTGTTTCCAAACCCTTGGCAGTATTCTCTAATCTATGTTCTCAGAAATCTTGTAAGGAACAGAGAGACTGTAGTTTGGTCTTTGGTGTGGTCAAATGCTATATAAAAGAACCTTCTCAAACAAAAACAAAAAAAGACCACCTCAAAAAATGCTTTATAAAGGAAAGTTGAGCTATTTTTCTGTAAGCACTAAAGCAGTAAGAAATTACTGTGCTATTTTTCAGTAAGCAGTAAGAAATAGCTCTACAGGCTGGACGCCATCACTGAGGATCCGATTAGATCTTCCGCGAGTTCTGCTTTGCACTTTTGCAGAATAATGATAGTTTAGGTTTGTCATGTTGATATACCTAGTGGATATTAGCTAGAACAGCTGGGCCCCAGAAAGATAGATATTTGGTAGGGTAAGATGATAAAGTAAAGCTGAATAAGATAAGGAGAGGAGAGAGGAGAGAGGAGAGAGGAGAGAGGAGAGGGAGATGATTGATAGTTTAGGTTCTTCAATGGTGCATTTATGCTGGTAGGGCAAGTGTTAATGCTTATGGTTCATAATGGAGCAAAAACCATGACTAACGATTTAGGCTTTAATGGTATCCACGACATATAAATGTTCATCAGTTATTGGTTAATGGTTCTACAATGGTGCATCTCTGCAGCAGTTTGAACATTCATACGTATGGTTTATAATGCTCTGCTATGAGGTGCACACTTGTGTGCTCTAAAGGAACATAGAATTAAATTTCCTGTCACTGTTATTGCGGACTTCCTGCATATTGCAGAGCATATTGCTTGTCTTCCGATTAATCCAATAATGTCAGCTCCCGGGACTCTTTTGTGTTGTGAAAGAACAGTGTAAATTTCTTGGGCTAATGGCATTTGCCAGACTATAGAAGTCCTTGTACAGGCTTTAGATAATTTATCAAGCTTTGACATTTTACTTACTCATTCCAATCTCCCAACAATCACTTGACAGGGATCTGACTTATGGAAGGATAAAGACCGGTTTGCAAAGTTTGCACGTGCCTCGTTAGAACTCTGTAAGGTTTACCAGGAAATAGCTCGACGTAATGGTAGCCGTAGGGAGTTATCTGCAGCGGAGATGCACTTAAAAAGCACAATCAAGCAGGTAGTTCTTTTAGTCTCCAAAATTAATGTGCTTGAAGCCTTCTTATGACAGATACTTCCTTCGCTCAGTATACCTTGTCTTAACCAGTGCTAAGCAGAGCAACTGACTTTCTATAAATTCCAGGCCGAGGCTTTTTCTGACACCAAAGAGTATCAAGATATCTTGGCATGCTTTGATGAGGTGAAGGCAGCACAAACCGCCTCAATTGCTGTGGCATAAGGCACTGATCAAATGCTTTCTGCCGAGTCATTTCTTCAAAGGGGTGAAGTCAACATATCCTTAACAAACATATTGGCTGGTACACCACGTTTTGTCCAAAGATAAATAAATCAGTTCTTGGAAGTAATTTTTTTTCCCAAGGGATTTTGTTCCAAAATTTCGCACCTCTTCATTTTCCAGGGGAAAAGGTGTCTGTACTTAAAAGGGCATAGAATTGATTTTATGTTTAAAATTGCTCGGTGGGAATGCAGGATTAGATGGTGATGAATTATAACACTCAACTACTGGCAGTGAAGAAATGCAAGGTATAATTGAGACATCTGCAGACTTTGATCCATGTGTAAGATATGTAATTTATTCTATGTCAATGTCGCTTCAGATAGTATGGAAATTTGTTGTAATTTTGGTTTTGGTAAATATTATGAGGATTTCTATCTCACTTCAGAATCTGTGATGTTGTTCAATGTAAGTTGCAGTTGTGGCCCCTTTTGGAGAAAATATTTATTATTTTAGGTGTTCTTTGTGGCCCCTTTTAGAGAAAATATTGCTTTTTAATTTTTTGGGTGTCCCAAATTCCCAGTGAATTTCTTTTTATTCTTTGGTTACCCTAAATAAGACACGTTCTTCTGCCTATTGCCTTCAGCTGTATCTAATGGACCATGTGATATTTTTAAAGAGTTATTTTTTTTACGACAGTGACAAAAATATATTTATTCTAATGCTACAATCAACTTTCGCAGCTAAATGTTAGAATGTGAATATCAAGAACACTAAATTCAAAGTAAACCAAGAAAACAGGAAAATATGTATTGTTGAATATCTCCGAGTGGCTGAGCTTTAATATCTTCTTACTTCACAAATTTGAGAAAGAAAATCTAGCTGCACACAAACTAATAAGGATGAAAGATGCAAAAATCGTAGCTTCAATTTACCCAGCTGGACAGATCCCTGAACCTTTGCAATAGATATTTTTATCTACTGACCATTTTGGGTGAAGTGCACCAGTAGTCTTTTTAAGCATGTTATTTAAAATATATTTACAATTTAAAATATATTTAAAGATTAGCCAATTCATCCAAATTTCAGGACTAAAGTATCCTGAATTTTCGTATCCTGAATTTTTGAGCTTTCAGTTTGAAATTCAAGACTTAATGTCCTAAATTTGTGAGTTGCTAAATAAAAATCCAGGACTAAGGGTGTGTTTGGTATAACGAAAAATGTTTTCCGTGAAAAATATTTTCTTGGAAAACAAGTAGTAATCTTATTCATTATCCGGCGTTTCGTACGCAAATTAAGAAAAATGACTTCTCAAGAGTATTGATAAATAATTTAGATATAATAAACATGAAGCCATAAACTTTCAAACCAGTAGTCTTTTTAAGCATGTTATTTAAAATATATTTATAATTTAAAATATATTTAAAGATTAGCCAATTCATCCAAATTTCAGGACTTAAGTATCCTGAATTTTCGTATCCTGAATTTTTGAGCTTTCAATTTGAAATTCAAGACTTAATGTCCTAAATTTGTGAGTTGCTAAATAAAAATCCAGGACTAAGGGTGTGTTTGGTATAACGGAAAATGTTTTCCGTGAAAAATATTTTCTTGGAAAACAAGTAGTAATCTTATTCATTATCCGGTGTTTCGTACGCAAATTAAGAAAAATGACTTCTCAAGAGTATTGATAAATAATTTAGATATAATAAACATGAAGCCATAAACTTTCAAACCAACAACCTTCCGAACCCACAAATATCATAAACTTTCGAAACAATGAAATTTTAAACCGGTAAACTTTATAATTTCTAAACCCGTAAACTTCAAAACATATAAACCTCCGAACTCATAACTTTGGAAATTGTGAAATTTTGAACCTTTAAACCGATAAATAAAAAAACTAAAACTGAAAAATATATTAAAAAATATTTTTTTCGGGGGGGGGGGGGGGGGGGTTAGGGTTTGGCGAGGGGTAGGGGTCAAAGAAAAAAACGAAAAAATAGAAAACTAAA